TAAACGCCATCAGGGTAACAAACAATCTAATGCGTCTATCAAGATTATCTTAAACTACCTTAAGAGTCTCTCGCGTACAAGTAAGACAAATGGTTAGACAAGCTTTCTAGTGTTCTATGGGCGTATCTTACCCAATGACAAGCTATCGACGAAACTCCATTCTCCCTAGCATTTGGTTCAGAGGCGATCATTCTTCCTAACATCGTCATGCCAAGTATCAGCACTATATTGCCAAGTCCCAAGCAGAACAAGAAGGAGGTGGCCAATTACCCATACTTGGCAGAGAAAAAACATGAGAAGGTTGTCACCCGCATCATAGTTTACGAGCAACAGCTCATCTACAACTACAACAAAAAGGTGATGAACCAGCAATTCTAGCCTAGAAACATAGTCAAAAGAAAAGCCTTCACCTTGTTTGTAGGGAAGACTCTAAAGTGAAGAATCCTGCATTCCGTCATCACCAATTGGACCTTGTCAAGGCTTATCAAAGTTCAAAGACTCAACCAGATTGATAAAAAAATACCTCATAGGCTGAGAATGATTCAAGTTGTCTTATAGTTTTTACCTTATTGTAGAGTTCAATACACTTCTCCTATTTTTTACGAAATTTTGAGAAGTCATTCACAAGTCTAGCTCAACTATATGCTCATAATAGCTTCCATTCTTTTCAATACGAGAGGGTAAACTGATTTCTCAACACTTATTTGGGTATGCTCTCTAATGCGAGAGGGTAAATTATTTCCTCCCCTTGGGAAAAGGTAAATCGCCCGAATATCTAGATGTTGATGGGTTTGGTTGCCATGGTGTAATTAAGTGTACAACGAGTTTTCCGTTCTCGGAATTAGCCACAATGGTCTTTTTCAAGGCCTAACTAACTGAAAGTCTTCTAGCCCTTAGACTAATCCATGATAACCCAAGCCTCTATACCAGAAAAGGCAAAAGTGCAGTTCGTTTCCCGAACAGATACCCATAAAGGTTCACGCGGTTAAGCACATTTGGTGTGACCAATTAACGATCTTCATGTCTTTACGAAACCTTATTTTCGCTGATGACATGCTACGCAGTCCACAGTTTTGTAAACTCATAACTACAGTTCGTCCCTTGGATGGTTGCTCATAAAGGTTCATGCGGTTGAGCACCTTTGGTACGACTAGCCTGAATACGCGGCTGAGCACCGTTGGTGTGACCAACTAGTGCTCTTCTAGTCATTATAGAACCCTATTTTTTTTGTCGACATGCTACGCATTCCACAAGTTCTATAAACTTTTAAGTGCGACACACTTTTGGGGTACTTGGAACTCTATCTTCGTTGTTGGCATGCTACACAGTCTACGGGTTCTAGACACATACTCACAGTACACTCTTGAGTAATTGCCCGCGAAGATTCATACAACTGCAGACGTTTGCTGTGACCAGTTATCAATCTTCGTGTTCATATAATAACCTATTTTCACTGCTAACATACTATGCAGTCCACGAGTTTTATAAGCTGCCAAGTGCAAGACAACCCTTGAGTTACTTTACATGAATTTCCATACACTTGCAGGTTTTTGCCCAGGCCAGTTAATGAGTTTCCTTTTTACACTAGTCCCTAATGTGTTGTGCTATTAGCCACGCAACCAACGTGACTAGTTACATAAAGTGTGACGCATTCCTTGGATTGTCGCCCACAAATTTCAAACAATTACAACTTACAATGCAATAGTTAATAATCTTTGTGTCCCAAAGATCTTTAGTATGTTGTGATGTAGGCCACATAACTCAAATGATTGAAGAATCAATGACAAGTTAAGTCATCCACGGTCAAGAGGCAATAACTCACGATAAGCCCATTAGCTCAATGTCCCAAGAAGCCAAGGCTCGCAGCCAAAGTGGTTACGCAGACCCGTCTACTTAGAATTATTTTTTCCTCATCTATCATACAGATGACTCATCTTGGCCAATAGAAAGTTGCCACGTGTAGAGTAGAAACCTACCATTGATGACCACCTCCTTATAAATACTCCATCCACACTATTTACTGGTAAGCTTTTGCTACATGCCTAAGCTCCCACTCACTCTTTTTACAGTTACTGATTTAGGCATCAAAGATTTATTGGCCAAACACCCCCTCCCATCTCGTGGGCGCGTGAGACTTTGGTCCTCAATCAAAGGTGTTTATTGTTTTATAGGTACAAATTCGTCAAGTTAAAGATGATAGATTTTTGCTACCACATCAATGAGCCTACTTTAAATTGAGGTCACATATATCACTATTCATCACCATCGATTATCTAGATTGTTAAGCTTTTCATCAAAACTTTCTTATTTCTTATTGATATAACATTTTTTAAACAGTACAGTGACGCTGCTAATGAACTACTCTAACACAACAAAATTGCACTAAATCACTATGGATGCACCAGAAAATGCTAAACAAACGGCTTTGAAAATAGCACCATACAATGTGTCATTTGAAAGTTCATTCAAAAGGTATTGCAACTAGTCATTTTCAATTCCCCTTATCTAACTTTCGTAGTATTTTCTAACAAATGTAGCCTAGGTTCTGTAAAACTTCAAAACCACGCATAGAGAAGAACATGCCAACAAAAACACATTTTTAAATTCTTATAAATTTATCGGATACTACTAAAATGATACTGTTACATTTATACATTGAACTTCGTATGCAATTTACATACGAACATGAAAATTACATACAAATTCTAATGTTTAAAATAAATTTTTGTTTTCACTTTGTATATAAGATATCTTGTTTACACTTTAAAATAGTAGTTTCTTGTATTTAACACTTGAATTTCCACCGGATTAATGCCTTTTGTTGTATAAATGGAATAAGTCCGAAGCCATCACATTGATATCACCTCAACTCAACTAGTATTATTTGTAATATGTTTTCCTTTTGTCTTTCTTTAACAACTTTCTTAATTGCAATTTGCATGTATCGTGAAATTAAAATAATGAAAAATTAAATATTATTAAGATGAAAACAAATTGCTCATACCTTGTGATTATCTATGCAACTAAGGTCTAATTTCACAGTACTTTCGGAATTTGACAACGGAAGAGACGACGAAATTCGTAGGGTATTGTTAAATGACTCTCTACAAAAACCAAATTGCACATATAGTCATAGATGGTGTGAACACGAAAATTCCACACACCATTGGATATGCATGGCGCATATTTCCATACGAATTCAATTGATAATTAAAATAAAGGACAAAGAGTTGTTGTCATGTATTTTGTCTTCAAAATTTGGCCATATTTAGATTTTTATTTAGTTTGTATCTAAATATAAAATGTGGTGTCATCTACACTCCCTTTTTGACCTTCTACACTCTCAAACTTCGGCTGTTGGATTAAAAAATTGAAAATGATCATAGAACAAAAATTTACAGGGTCTGTGAAAGGTCACACACCCTAAAAACTCTAAATTTCAATCTTTAGAGCTTTCATACTAAACCCAAAAAATGTAAGTTTATAATTAGTTTGTATCGGGTTCATAACTAAAGCAATACAAAAAAGTTATTGAGTGTATATGATACAACACGTGACATGATTTGTTGTATTATATTTCTGTTTGACAGCACATACGTACAGATGAACTTGGGATTTACCGTTTCAGATTTAGTTATTAATTTGGGTTGTTAAATTCATAATTAGGATTGAATTTCCTTCCCTCTAGTTCCTTGAGGTACCGTTTGGTACGTGGGACGGGACGGAACAGAGTGGGACAAGGCGTTCTGTCCCACGTTTGGTGAGCCTAAAACGGGTGGAACGAGCTGTTCCACGGGACGAGTTTTGGATGAATTTTCGTTCCACCTCACCCCCTGGAACAACTTGTTCCACATCCGTGGAACACAAAATTATAACATTTCCGTCTCCTTCTTCTTCCTCCTTGTTTCTATCTGAGGGCATCTTTGCTCCCGCTCCGTTCCGTTCCGTCATGTCCCGTCCCGTCTGCATACTGAACGATACCTGAGTGCTGCGTCTATGGGTTATCATCTTAATGAGGTTGGAATGACGATAACAGTCACTGATTTGTTTTAATGGGACATAAATACAATAACACTCACTGATTTATATACTCGTTTAAGTTGTAATTTTAGAATATGTTTACATACATATTTTTCTAGTTAATTCTTAATTTGGATTTTTTACATACGTATATTTTGCCTTCAATGTTTAGATTTAGTTGCGTTATTATATAATGTGGTATGTTGGTGTTGTAAATTATATTCTCTATATATTACATTATTTTATTACCTAACAAGGAATATAAAATCAAAATAAAATGTCATCGAAGCACAACATATTCAACCAAGTTCTTGTTAACTTGTCAGAGCGAGGATGTCACTGGCAATCCAAATCCACCTCCCTTATCATTATCCTTACCAAAACATCATGTCATGTGGTTCATCGAATACAGTATAACCTTTTTACGGAACATCAACATATCACGTGATACATCAAATACATCATCTAATTAATCGTCTTTGTAAAGAAACAAATTAAAGTAAAATGTCAACATGCCATTGTGTACATAATAAAATTCTTATCTATATCACAAACGTTAATGACAAGCTAAACTCCATCTCACTCATTATTATCTTTACATTACATCAGCACTTCACGTGATTCGTGAAACGCTTCGTGTAATTTCTCATTTTGGTCAAAAACATGGCTATGTTCATTGTCTTTGCCTGCACATTGCAATAATAGTAATAGGAAATCTATTTTGCCGCCTGCATATTGCAATAATAGGAAATCTATTTTACCAAAATAAACGTGGAAAATAGGGAAAGTAAGAAATAAAAAGACCGAAGAGGCAACTTGTTGTGGAAAAAAATAGGAGCCGTTGATTACCATGATTCTCTCTCTCTCTCTCTCTCTCTCTCTCTCTCTCTCTCTCTCTCTCCTCTGACAAGTAAACCTGGTAATGCTTTCACAATCCACTGTTTTTCCACGTGCCTCCCCTATTTTCTTATTAACACGCGCACTCCTCCACCTCTTGCTTCGTCATTCCCGCATCTCCCTCTTTCTTTCCTCTCTCTCTCTCTCTCGCAGACACATCCAGTCTCCAGCCGGCGCCTCTCAAGAACCCTAAAAACCATAACATCTTCCCCGCACCGCCGCACCCTGACGATTCCGATCCCAATCCCAATCCAAATCCGAATCTGAGGTAATTCTGCAAAAAAATTTGTCGCTAATTCTCGATTGGTGCTGTTACGGCGACGCTTGAACTCTGTTATTTGAAGTGTTTTTGTCAATTTTTTGTTCCAGTTTCTGGAAATTCGGCTTTGTTGTTGTAGTTTCGATGCCAAATAAAAGGGGAGCTTTTGAAGAATTCTGCTTTCATTTTCCTATAAATTTTATTGTTTTTATTTAATATGTACACACACACACACACACACACACACACACACACACATATATATAAGTGTTAGGTTTTAGATATTAGATTAAGCAGCTGTTTGGTTGAGTGAGCTGAAGGTGTTATGAATTGGATTTTCTTGTCAGCTTAGCAGAGCTTGTGCTCTGTTGATTTAGTTTCTCGTTCCCCCTATTTTATTTTAATTTTCACGTTTTAATGAAATTATGTGTCGTATTACATTAATTTGTATGACAAATCTGCTGACAAATTTGCATTTTCTTTGCGTTTTGTTTCGATTTATTTGCCAATTTTGTACCTTTCAATTTGTTTTCTGCTGATGTCTCTCTTATGGTTTGTGGGTTCCTATGAAATGTTATGTTGAATTTGATATAATGTTCTTCTTTAGATCTCTGGTTTTTATTTGTTTTGATGTTTTCGTTTGTAAAATACAATCGGTTGTGAAAGAAACAATTTGATTTGATGCTTTAGGATTATGTATATTATGTTTTGTGTTTATTTGATGAACTGAGTTAGTGGTTGAAACAGTTTGTTGACAGTGATCTTAGATGGTATGATTTGTCCTGTTTCGGGGTTTTTTTATTTACTTGTTTCCGACATTAAGTGTTTGAATCTGTTCGGGGAGTATTCAAGTGGTTAGAAATTGAAACCCCATTCAATTTGGGTATGACGAATTCGTTAAATCATGTATGTGCATATCCCCCTTCCTTTTTTAGTTATTTGTAAAAAGGTTGGGAGTCTTGAAAGCCATTTTCCGTGTTTTATTTAAGGTGGAAACTCCCAACTTGTTTTATTTTTTGTTTTTTTTTTGTATTTCGTAATCTGCCTGAGGGGCAAATATTTATTCGGTGCTCCTTGAGATGTCATGTGAGATTAATTGGGTCGATGCGTTCTCCTTTTATGATCTTGTTTCCTCTTTAATCATTCTTTTTCTTTTTTTCTTGTCTGCCTACTGTTCGATCGTAACTGTCTATATTGCTTCATATTCTTCTTATGATAACCTGGTTCTTTTGCTTTCTAGGCTTCTGAGGCGCTGGTTTCTTTCACTGCTTATGATGATCTGCTTTCTTCTCAATTTGGAGTAGATCGAAACGGATTCAAGGTTGTTATGATCACCTCTGTTGTTTCTTCCTAGAATTCTATAGCTGAACATTTTTTTTATACTTGGAACTTTTATGAACTCTTTTCCAATGGGTGGTGTTGTCGCCTATGGGATTTGGCTACTTTAGTATAATAATTCTTTACTCTAGTGCAGGATGATTTATTGTCACAATGATGCTGTAAAGCAATCAAAATTTCTGAGATTCATGTACTGCTGCAACTGATCAGTAAAAGTTTGGTATAAATTCCGTGGACGAAATGGATCGGCATGATACATCAGGATTTGTTAGTGGGGGTGGGATGTACTCTCCCAGAGACATCTAACTCTTAACTTGGTAGATAATTTTATTTAGCCCAGAAGTTGGCAGACTGTTCTGTTGCAATTCGATTAGGTCTGTGTATATTATTTTAGTTGTTACTTAATGGACAATAGGTTGCAGAGTCTGGGTTTTGCTGCAAATGTTTCTTCAAATGCCTTCAGAATCTTGGGCAACTCCATGGAAGTTGGAGGAGCTGGAGGTGAGTATTCCACAGATACTATCTTACGGCTTAATTCCCCTGGTTCTTCAATGGCTCACATGCCAAGCCCAAAAGGAACCAAACGAAAGTGGAGTTCGGTTGGTGGATCTTTGACCCAGCATGTTGGCTCTTCACTGGCGCTTGGGCTTGGCCGTTCAACGAGTTCCTCAGACAGCAAGGGGAGCTCAGCTACTGCTTGCACTACAATGTCTTCAGCCAAAGAAACGGATGAGGAGTCCTCAATGGATTTCGAATTGGACTTTGCTCTTCATCTTGGAAATGAAAGGGTACCCAGCCCGAGGAAACCTGCTAAGAGTGCACTGGAACTGATGCCCAAGGTTGACTTGGAGTTAAGTCTCTCCACTGGGCTGTCTGAATCTGAAATCACTTGCGTCAATCCAAGCTCCACTTCGGCCCTTTCAGGCAGGGAGTTGCCATTGGATGCAGGTGGGGCCCAAAATGTAGATGAAGGAGCAACTTCATTCCCCTGGAAGCGAAGGTTTGCCATGCAACCATTGCAGACTTCGTTCAACCCAGGGGCTAGCCTCCTCTTCAATGAGGTTTCACAAAAGGTTGACTCAACTGCTGCTGTTCCAGATCTCTCATCAAGCATGTTAACCACACCAAATAGCTCAGTAACCTGTTCTTCTTCTGTTATGACACAGAAACAACAGTCGCAGCGCAGCTCTAATTCAAAGACATGCCAGGTGGAAGGGTGTGGAAAGGGAGCCAGAGGTGCTTCGGGCCGTTGCATATCTCATGGTGGTGGTAGGAGGTGTCAGAGATCTGGCTGCCACAAGGGTGCTGAGGGCCGGACAGTGTACTGCAAGGCCCACGGTGGTGGTCGGAGATGTGAATTCCTTGGGTGCACAAAGAGTGCAGAAGGACGTACAGACTTTTGTATTGCTCATGGTGGTGGTCGGAGGTGCAGTGAAGAAGGTTGCACTCGAGCTGCCAGAGGGAAATCAGGATTGTGCATCAGGCATGGTGGTGGCAAGAGATGTCAAAGAGAAAATTGCACAAAGAGTGCCGAAGGTCTTTCGGGCCTTTGCATATCACATGGAGGTGGCCGTCGATGCCAAGCTGTAGGATGCACAAAAGGGGCGCAAGGGAGCACAATGTACTGCAAGGCTCATGGTGGGGGGAAGCGGTGCACTGCTCCTGGTTGCACCAAGGGAGCTGAAGGGAGCACGCCCTATTGCAAAGGCCATGGTGGAGGGAAAAGGTGTGCATTTGAAGGTGGTGGGCATTGTACAAAGAGCGTGCATGGTGGTACCAACTTCTGTGTAGCACATGGGGGTGGCAAGCGATGTGCCATACCTGAGTGCACAAAGAGTGCAAGGGGACGAACTGACTACTGTGTCCGACATGGTGGAGGAAAGAGATGCAAGTCTGAAGGGTGTGGTAAGAGTGCACAAGGCAGCACTGACTTCTGTAAGGCACATGGTGGAGGAAAGAGATGCTCATGGGGCCATCCGGGATCAGTTTATGGCGTCCAAGCTAGCGCCCCTTGTAACTCATTTGCAAGGGGGAAGACAGGCCTCTGTGCACTCCATAGTGGTCTGGTTCAGGATAAGAGGGTTCATGGAGGTATTACTTTGGGACCTATGGTTCAAGACCCTAAACTTGGGAAGTCGGAGAAGATGAAAGAAGTAGTCATTGCTGACGACATGAATGTTGATGTGATGAATATCGTGAGTGGCATAAGGACTTCAGCAACTGGAACTTATTCTGACTTGAAACATGGCGGTCAATCTTCAGTCCCCACCCTCGTTCCTGAAGGCAGGGTGCATGGGGGAAGTCTGATGGCTCTGCTGGTGGGCGGCAGTTCAGATGCCAACACAAACAGCATGGGAAGCAATTCATCTGGGCCAAAGAAGTCCTACATGATGCATCAGAACTGGATGTAAGGCTATTTCCTATTTCCTCACCCTTGTTCTCTGATTCGGTCTCGGTGGTTGGCAAGTGTTTTCAGATGGTCAGCATGTCTGTGTCCTTGTTTCTTAATCGGGTTTAGTCCTTTGATATACATTAGAAGTTGTTCTCATTCATTAGTTCGAATGGTGAGAACCCATTTAGTGCTTAAAAGATGTTAGTGTAACAGTTTGTTACGGGTATATCAAGGTAGGGCATAGTGTTACAATTTGGAGTCAGGTGTTTGGTGTTCTTTCCTGTAAATACGTATGAATGTCTGTCAGTCCAGCAGTTTGCTTGTGAATACAGGTTAAGGTTATACCGCCTGTAGCTTCTGTCAGTTCGTCAGACATTCTGGTGCAGTAAAAGCCTTTTCTGAGATCATTATAATCTGTTTGCCGTGTTTGGTTTGCTGGTTTGTCTTGCAATTTAGTTCCTAATAAATTTTCGGTGGTTTTGTGCTTTTGAAGGTATTGAGATTTGATAGGCAATTGGGAAATTGGCTGAAATCATAAATTTACATGTCTCAATTGTTGAAATGATAGCTTTTGATCAATTTGTCGTCTATATTTGATTGATATGCTGTTAGTATTTGATTTGATCCGTTCAACAATTAGCAATTGAGATTTGTAAAACAATCATTTTCAGTCTATTTCCCTAGATGATTTGCATGACTTGTAGGAGTAGGTCCAAAAGTTCTTTTCAGCTTAAAAGCACTTTACAGTTTACAGGCCATTAAACTGCTTATAAAGTAAAGAACTCATATGCGTACATGTTCTTAAAGGTAAACAATGTCATCCAAGAAGATTCCATCAGGTTAGGGTTCCATTTGGATGGAGGATTTTGAAAGTAGGAACTAACTAGGATTTGATAATAATGCTAAATTTGCTACAAAAACTATAAACATTAGGTTGCTTGCTTAATCAAGTAACAATTTGTTTTACTTCAGCGTTTCGTGAAATTTTAATGATGATTTGAACTCCGTTTGATTAGCATATAGAATCGCTCAGTGATTAACTGTGTAAACAAAATGATATGGTTTACCAACACGACTGATAGCAAGGGAGGGGAATTCAAACTCGGGACTTTGGGTGCAAAAGGGTGAAAGCCCTTAAACAACTGAGTTACAAGCCAACTTGCGATAATAAAACCCGCTAATGATGTACTATAAATGATCTTTTGGAAATCGGCCGAGAATTAGGAACTTATTTCTGGATTTTCATTTTTCGTGAAACTGCAACACGATTTTTACATGATTATTTTTCATGAAAGCTGGTATATGTAGTGGGACATTTCCCCGTGTATTTGTATACAAATCTTCTCCCGTGTCAAGTTAGAACTTGGCTAACTTAGAAAGCTCATCAACTGCTTCAACCAAGTGATCAAGCCTGGCCACAAACTCTATCAGCAAGGAAGTGAAGTTGGCCAGGGACAACGCCGCAGTGCTTTCCAACGCCTTCATCCGTGGCAAGAAGTCGCCGGAAGAACCCTCTTCCTCAAAAGCATCAACCTGTAGAGGCGGCCATGAATAATGCTGCCTCCTCGACTGCTTCCTCATTAGCTCATGGTAATTGTTAGGCTCCGTCTGCTGCTGCTGCTGAGCGCTTTGGTTCGAGTTCTTGTCAAGGCTATTGCTACTGTCGAGATCAGCCAGTTGGCTCGTGAGATCGGAGAAGTTGTTGGATAGGGTCTGAGAGAGCTTGGTCAGTGGCTTGGAATATCCGTTCGTCTCCGGGGGGTCACAAGGCGATGTGAGGAGGTAAGAGTGCACGTCAATGGCGCGTTGGAGTCGCTCCGTTGAGCTGTGGAGTTTCTTGATTAGGGATGTTCTGGTGCTTCTTTTCATGTCGCTGATGTCTTGCCCTAGACTCCTTACCAGTTCTGCGGCCTGGCTTGTCGCTTCGTGGATCTCCGATTGGAATGTAATCCGGAGGTTGTAGGGTGCCTAAACAGTAAACACCAATCGAGTAAAAAGATTAATACTATCAGCAGATTATCATCAAGATCTGCGTTTTTTCTAACCCAATTCACCCCATTGAAAACCAATTTTATCCGAGTGCTCACTACACATTCTCGACTCTCGAGTGAAGCCGGGTGTATCATTTTATGTTTATCTCTCTTATCCTGTGACATGTTTAGTGAAAAACGAGATAAGCACAAGAAAATATATACCTAATTCCACCCAGTTTCTAATGCCCCATGATCTCCACCAACATTTGTTTATTCTGAACAAATTCAATTGCGATTGTGAATCAGGTCATAGGAATATCTTTACATGCTTGAGACTGACGATTAAAAACAAACCACAATTGATCATCGTCATCTCTTTTAGCACTAGTCAATTAATTATTATTTTAGTAATAATAATTATTATTATTATTATTCTGGTGCCAATTCTTAATTCCTGGTCCCCTAAATATTGGAAACCACTAACAACAGCAAGAGAATAAACACATCGTATAATTAACTTGTATTATTTTATTCCCAGCCAGCTCTTAAATCTTTCCAAATATTCCCCAGCTCCAAAATGGAAAAGGGTTTATGTATTTTATGTGGTTGGTAGATATTCAATCTGATTGTACATCATATTTAACTCATTACCTGCAAGTAGGCATTTCTTTTCACAGATGACCGCAGTTTGAGATGTATGCAAACAAAAATTTAGAAATGATAAGCACATGTCCCTTGACTTTTTATATAATCTTGCTTAATCTTGTAGATTGTTTTTATTTGGTTTATTCAATCCGATAGTAAAAAATAAAGATGAGTGTGTATGAAGCTCGAAAAGGGATTGAAGGTGGTTCACTCCCAATTTTCTTTACATAATTTTAATGAGTTACTATGCATATGTGTCAGACTAGATTTATGTAAGTAAAACCGACTCTTAATATGTCGGGAGCCAAGCAGTGTTCATTTGAGAAGTCATATGCAAAAGGGTTCATGTATGTACATGGAGGAGGAGGGGAGTGGAGGAATGGAATATATACCTGAATTTCAGAGTGCAGAACTCCATGAAGTGCCATGACCTGGTAAGCACAATACCTCAAAACTGCTGCAACTTTGACATATTCTGACCAAGGATAGAAGAAGTGCTTGAATCTGCCGTGTGGGGGCTCCCATTTTGCCGACACAGCCTTGCATTTCAACAATATAGCCAACACATATGATTAAACTTTTTCAGGTAACTTTTGGATTTGCGAATTATGATATAGATTATTCGTTGGAAAAGTATTAAAACCAATTAATTAAAGAGGTCTAATTAACTAATTTATTACCAAAGCCTCCAGTTTTGCTGATGAGTTCAATGTGCTCCGGCATTTCCTATAGGCAGGCTCGTCTGGAAACTCGCCCATAACAGTTTTGGAGAGTTCTGGGTGCACAGACCCATCATCTTCTAGATATTTCCTAACACAATCTGAGAATAATTTTAAGAAAACATATAAATGGTTATTCTCTCTACATCATGACCAAATGCAATCATCTAATCCAAAATCAATTAACAATTAGTGAATATGATAATTTATTCTGATATCATGTTATAATGTGAACATTCAACTAAAAGCATCGGGTTATGTGTCAAGTGACTTGTTATATCAAATATTATGAGCGGTTAATAGTTGAAATAAATAAATATGTGACAAAAAAATGTGGTCCATGTCTAGCATGGTATTATTAACATGAGATTTACATGCACGATATGTTTTTAGGTTTGTATATGTTGCATGCAGGGTATTATATTAACATGGGATTTGCCATTTTTATTTTTCACCGTGGTTCGAAATTAAAAATACCAATCGATTATTTGGCACACCTTCAAGTGAGTCAGCCACCGAGTTAAAGTTATTGACTAGCTCCTTGTGCAATTGCTCACCGGCCCAAATAGGGCAAACAAGCACATTCACTAAGACTGCTACAAAACCTCCGATGGCGATCGAGTAGAGTCGATCCATTGCTGTCCTCATCGGGTTTCCCATCGATAAGCGATACCCAGAAACAACGATCAAACAATAGGTGAAAAGTACGACCCTGAATCCATACTCATATGGCACGAGTGATGGCCACAACTTCATGAACGATGTAATGGTTCCTGCATAAAATTCATCAATTAATTCCAACAAAAATTGAAGTGTTTGATAATTTGATCAATTTCTATACATGCATATATATATATATATATGCATGTATGTATGGCTTTTGTAATCATCATTGGGGATATTCGATGCGCGACTTACCAATTAGGAAGATGCTAAAGCCAATGATGATAGGTTCAGCTACTCGTCCAGAGCTTAGTGCTATTTGAGCAACACTAATGGCCAAAACTCCGGCAAGCAAACTCCCAAGAGCTCGGTTAAATCCTCTGTTAAATGTTGCACCTAGAAACACAATGATATATGTTACATGGAACTTCTATGTATAACTACCAAGTTGTTTGGTTACATATCAAAGTCTATATACATGATTGAAGAGAAAATACTTGCTTCGTTGGGTTCCAATAGACAATACATGGTATTGATATTGCATACTGATCGATGTTTTACCTCACTATGTTTACTCACTTTGACCAAATATCGACATCATATTTGATATTATAAATTTGTATCCGTGATCAGCTATCACTACTCATGATTTAATATGTTAAATATTGATCTTAAATTACTTGCCACACACACGTCATGTTTAGTTGCATATACGTGCTATTTTGTACCATCCTCATAGTAACCCTAGATGTTAACTAGTTTGCATGTAAGTAAGGAATGAATTAACATCAATATACATGTGCTTATGCATGCATGCATGGATTCATGCATCCCAGCGCATACGATACGTACCGACCGTATATTCGAACATGATGGCAACCGTGAGGATGGACCAAATGATATTGGTGCCAAAAACTTCATAAGGTGCTCGGAAGAGTATGAGCAGAGAGACAAGAAGCACTGCCAGCCCCACTTTCAGTGAGAATTTCACCCTGTTGCTATCTTCTCTGGCAAATTTCCAGACTTTCCACACCCAATCCTTAAAGGGGAAGCCTTCTTCTTCTTCTCCTCCTCCTCCTCCTCCTCCTCCTCTTTCTCCCTTGCTGGATTTCTCATGGTGTTTGGCTTTGGTCACAGAACAAGGGATGTTAATGTTAATCTCAATATTATTACTACTATTACTACCCTTTTTGTCATTCATTCTCCAATGCAGCAGTATTCTCTCCCCCAACTCTTCTATAAGATGCTGTTTCTCTAAGAGCCCCAAACTGTCGAATTAATCGCTTATAATAAAAGCATTTTTTGAATAAGCTGGGGAGAACAAGGGAGGAGATGGATCAAAAACTGCGAGAATAGTGATTGAGTAGTAGGATTTGAGGTGTGTTCATCAGAAGAGAAGTGAGTAGGTTTTAAAGAGGAGGGGTGGTAGCTTTGTGTTATGGGCAAGTAGGTAAAAATGTACGTCTAGTCAGGATGTCATATATACATGAAGAGAATACAGTACGACAATGATAGAGAAGAGAGAAAATGAAGCTACACCCTGAAGATAAAAAGATGCTTAATTACAATAATGCAGCCTGCACTGCATGGATATAAGAGAATTTAGAATCTCAAATGCCGTTTTCAATCGCCAAACACGTTTACTCTTCCAAATATCGACCTTCGCCATGTACTAGCGAAGGTGGTATTTGCAGAATATCAGTGCATTACTAACAATCTATTTATTCGTTTAAAGTAATGTGAATTGAAAATCGTATATAATGATATTGCAACCACTAAAGTTGGTCACATACGAGGCATGTGGTAAAAAAGACAGGAAATTAACGAAAGTGATGATAAGTTGCTGGGATATATTGAAAAATGTTCAAGGAGTATAGATTCCAGAAAATGAATACAAGGACTAATTAAAGTGAGGATCCGGTATTAGCTATTCTTTACTAGGAATGCTAGTAACTTTCTTATTTGAATTTTTTTGTTCTACCTCGGTTCTCTTCTCATTCTGCAACTGCGATGTTACATGACGATCCAAGTTGTTTGTCATCACTCTTTAAAGATAAACTCTGCAAAAAATTAACCAAGTCTAAAATCATTTAGTCATCTAACGACCATTTAATAAATAGACGAACTATGCTATTTAGTTAAATACTGAAATTTTGAGAACGTTAAAGTTTTTTGTATAGTTGATCTTTAAAGAGAGAAATAGTGTAAAAGATTCATATCATCATGCAATATTGCAAGATGAGAAGAAAAATTGGAAAGGTCGCTAGCATTTTCCATGCATGATACACTCAAAGGAGAACTTGTACTTTTTTCCTCATGGGATTAAGCTAGGCCATAAATTCAATTTCATCCTCAATGAACTAAGAAACACTAGTGGTGCTTGGGCCATAAACAAAAATAAGCATGTTATGGGGTTGGACATCCTCAAGTCGCATGACTTTAACCCACCAACTTCGAAACCCAAAATCAAGGCTCGGACGACCATTTCATCTCTCTCCAATATGTCCGAGGGGTCGAACATGAGTCTTTCCGAGACGCGTCTGCCACACAAACTACCAGAGCCCGAGAATATCTCATCGCTTTAAATGCATATGTACGCATCATCCAACATGCTGAGGCGTTGCAGGTGAAATCATATGCGTACCTGGAAAATATCAGATCCATCATCGTAACTGCGTCCTAAACCTCTTTTGCCGTTGGCAGTCGAATGAAATACCCAATTACATTGGGTTCCATAGAGTTGATCAACCATCCTTTCACGATGGTATTCTTTGGTGTCCATTTAGTGAAGGTCGAGTCAGTTGTAAGGGGTTGTAGATTACTTCCAAACAAATATCCTAATTTGTCTTTGCCAACGACAATAAACATCTTGAAAATTTAGGACCAAACTCTATAATTTGCACCATTGAATTTGATGCCAATTGGCGAAGTGGATGTATCATGGTGAACAATTTGTGTCACCACTTAGGGAATCATCGTCGGGTTCACAACAACATCAGCAGTAGGAGTCGAAGTAGCAAGGGCAAATTTAGGTGGATGAGGGTTGATAGAACCGGTGGTGGTTCCACCATTAGGGGGTAGATTTTCCATGGAAGTTTTTTAGGGTTTTCAAACGGGAATAGGTCTAGCAGAAATCCTAGAATCTCTGCCCTGTTACCATGTTAAATTTGGGTTGCAGAATTCTTCAATGCATTCTTCTTACTTCGGAGGCAAATATATATAACACAACTTTAACTTACAAGGCAATAATAAATAATAAAGTCGATCTACCCTAATCACGAAGAAACAATCAGAAAACAAATCCCGCTAATTACACCGAGAATGTAAACCCATGCCAACAGTAAAAAATGAAGCAAGAGGAATATTTAGGTCATTTCTAATCGAGGGCTGGCCAGATGACTCGTTTTAGCCCTCTAGTCCTTCAAGATATTAATATTTTAATGAACAGTACATGACCATATTTGCCTTCGTCTCCAATCGAGGGCCAAAGGGTCAGATGGCTCGTTTTAGCCATGTCATAAAAAACTGTCTCCAACCGAGAACCAAAGGGCCATACGGCTAAACATAATTTATTATTTAAAAACTACAACTTAAATGTTGTTTGTTTCATGTTGTTAAATATTTTTTTTTTATGTAGTATAATTTTTATGTTGGTTAATGTTATTTAATGTTGTTTCATGTTCCACAACCCTCTGGCCTAGCCCTCGATTGGAGACGGTTTTCGGGCTATTTTCAGCCCTCTGGCCCTCTGGACCATTTGGTTGGAGATGACCTTATACAACAAATTAGAACTTATGTATACAAAAAATTAGAACTCAGATGCTACGACTCCTTTCACAAAGAAGCTTTTTTGCTGTTTCTTCTTGTAGGTATATTGCCCATGAATTAGAATGGTATTACTCTCTATATTGCTAATTGATTTTATCGTGAAACCTCAACTTTTGTTATGTTTTTAGAGTATATTAGCACATGTGTGAAGCTCAATAACTACACGTACTCTATGTCTCTCAGTTTGTGTTGTCCACTTATTAAGCTGTAAAATACGCCTCATATGAGGGACATGCAAAAATGAGAAGAAACGTCTCACATCGGAGAAGTGTATCAAACCTTGCATGTCCTTATAAAGATTATGTTACTCCCTATATGGCCAGTTATAAGGATATCTCAACCTACTTCACATACTAATGGGACAATTTACTCAAATGAAAACTTGTGTATCAAGGGAAAAAGTTAGGATTTGAATAGGTCATCACTTTTGTTAAAAGGGAACGTTTCTTAATATTTACGTAGAAAGGTAAAGAGTGAAACAATAGGAATATTGCATAGAACAAAGAACTCAGAAGCTACAACTCCTTTCACAAGGAAGCCTCTTTGCTCTTTCTTTGCTATAGGAGTATTTCCTAGGATTTGGATAGGTGATCAATGGTTGCTTGTTGTTCTGGTATATGCACAGGTTGTCAAAATAATTATGTTAAATGATTTTTCTTCTATATCCCCAATATAATATTCAGACTTCAGCATTCTCTGGTGGCTACTTTTATATAACTTTGCCTCAATGGTCTAAGCACAGACATGTTCTTTCTTTCCTCTTAACACGAAATCATTGGTATCTTGTTAGCTATCCGTCTAGTATTTTATCATATTTCTTCCTTTTATGCCTAATTTATTCCTAAAATTTGACATAGAAATATATGCTATGATTCTTTAATTACCATAGCCATGTATTTTAGTTTTTGCTATTAATTTATTGCATATGTTACACAGGTATCTTAGACTCTCTGTATTTATGAGTAGAAAGGAATTTTTCCCCTCTTTAGTCTTTCCCCTCATTTTGCAATTAAATATTGAGGAACATATTCGAGGAATAAAGTGATTAAGAACATGAGAAGTGATTAAAAACAGCTGACTGCATGGCCAAGGTCAAGAAGTGACTAGTACTACGATCTAGTAGTATTCTTCTTCACTTGTATGTGAGAGGTTTTAAGTTCAATTCTCATCAAGGTGATTTTGAACCACATTATTGTTAGCCCATTATGAGGCTTAGCCCACTCCCCTACCCTTTTAATATATATAATATCTTTTATTTAAAATAATGATCTCAGAAAATTTAAACTCAACCCTATATAATCAGCATTTAATAGAAGTAGCAATTGGTTAGCAAAGTTAAAATAATTTGTCATGTCATGTAGGAAAAACGCATTTCCAATGGAGGTAGCAATCCAACTAGCAAATAAAAAAAATAGTAACTGATCTTAGAGCAAGTCTGCCCTATGTGGGTAGCCGGCTCACAGCACACAAATAAGCCAGCCTTTTTTTTTTTTTTTGCTCTAGCCCAAGCCAGTCTCTAGTCTAGCCTAGAATGTGCTGAGCCATGGGACGGGCCATCTGATGTTAGGCTTGTGTCAGCTTGATATCAAAGCGCACTAATATATATATATATATATATATTTTTTTTTTTTCGTCAAGCGCGTGTAACACACGTGTGAGTGGGGGTGCGTCCCCAATAAAAAAGGTGATGGGCCCATTTTTGCAACGCACCAATTCTCACCCTTGAGTGGCCACATGGTGCGGTATAGGCCGTTGGATTTCCAACGGTCAAAAAAATTTCAAATTTGAACCCAACGGCTAGTTGACGTGGTGCGTTCTAGGCCGTCCGATCCAAAATCAACGGTCCACCATTTTCGTCCCAAAAAAGGGGAAAAAAACCAAACGGTCAGAAATATTACCATTGGCCACGTGTCAACATCTAGGCTATTGGATTTGAATCTTTTTCAAATCCAACGATCCAGATTAATTAACTTAATTAAAATTATTAAAAATTGTTTTAAAATACAGAAAAAAATTTTTTAAAAAATTATAATTTTTTTCTATAAATACCTAATCATCATCTTCCACCTTACACCACATTTCAATATTTTCAACACTTTCAACCAAAGCTTTCATATATTTTTTTGTGAGAAAATGGCTACGTGGAAGCTTATCGAAGATGTTACGTTGTGTCAATTTTGGGTTCAAATTACTCATGACCCGCTTACGGAAGCTTTTTGCTATAGGCTTGGTAAAGACACAAGAAATAGTCAAGGTCTTCAAGGTCGTTGGAAAAAAACTCAACATATCCTTTACTTGTTGGAAAAATGTTATGTCTCATGCTTCCAGTAATGTTCATAGTAGGACAAGTTTAGCGGATCAGGTGACAATATATTTATTTATTTATATGTATTCCACCTGCATCAATATTTTAATTTATTTATTTGTGTTACACCCGCATTTTATAATACTATCTTATCCCACATTTTATAGACATTACAAGTACAAGCATTCTACAATGCAAAGAACCACAACAAACAAATGGGAATGTTGGGAAATTGTCAAAGATTGTCCCAGATACAAAATTGTGCCAACTGGTCCAGAAGTTGTCATGCACGGCATCCTTCTACATAGTTCGCCAAAAGCAGA